TAGGACAATTATTTTCAATTATTTGTAGAATGCTGTGAAGAGCCTTTCTTTCATTTTTCTTTAAAACTAAACATACCTATTACCTCTAACCTCTCTTCTCAGGGCGTAGATTCTAGTTCCCCAATCATCTTTGTTGTCTTTCTGTGAATTTGTTCCAGTTTCTCTTTAAGTGCGATGCCCAGAACTGAACACGATACTTGAACTGAGATCTTACTAAAGCAGAATAAAAATGATTTATGATATTAGCTGATTAGTAATGTGCGTTGGAATTGTCCCTAGTAAGTAACAAGTGTAAATGTTGTCCTAAAAGTTTGGCAACCGCTCTGCCCTCTTCAGAAACTGGTTTTTTAAAAAAACATACAATCACAGAGTTAAGGGGCCATTTAGAGCATTAGCTCAAATATGTTGCAGATTCAGGAATTCAAATTAAAGCATCCCTGATAGATGACTGTCCACATATTTACATATGTGGGGAAAAATATTCATTTAGTTCACATGAAATGCAGACCTAATTTTAGAATGTAGCATTTTGACATTCTGGGATTCAATTGATATATATAATACTTCACACACATCTTTCACATAAAATCTATAATAATTTAGATAACTGAGAAAACATAGGGCTGCTGCTATTGATTTCCCTCCAAATAAAGGAACCAAATATCATTTTATACTTTCCTATCCGGGGAATTGTGCATTTTTTATTTCTTCCTTTTTATTGTTCGTTCCATTGCTTTAACTCCTTAATTGTTGATTTTAAGAAAACTGTTGTAATGGTGAGCAGCTGACCCTTTAAATCAAAGCCAATCTGATGTGCCCAGAAGGAGTCACCTCACCCTTTTGGTCCAATAAAGGAAAATAAGAGGGTTCTGTCAAATTTCGAACGGGAAGGGTTTTGGGAGTTTTTGGAGAAAGTTGGTGGGAATCCTGGATGAGGGCTTACATTCAGGCAAGGTGGGAGATTGAGGTGTTTTGGCTGTAGTTAAAATTGTTTAAGATGTTTTTGCATTTAATTTTAAACACTGGTTTTATGTATTTAGAAGATCTTTTTTGGCATGTTCACTAAAGTTGACTTTTTGTTTCAGCCCTGACCAGTGGTGGGATTCAAATAATTTAACAACCGGTTCTCTGCCCTAATGACTGGCTGGGTGGGCGTGGCCAGGGGTGTGACAGGCAGCACTTGGCCTTCCTGGGAGCAAAAATGGGCTGCGGGGGGATGCGCCATCTCCGCGTCCCATTTTGAGCCTAGGAGGCCTCCCTGAAGCCTCCTGGGAGCGAAAACGGGCTGCGGGGGGGGGGGGGCCCACCGCACTCCCCAAGCCCCATTTTGGGCCTAGTAGGCCTCCCTGCACTTACCTGGGAACAACAATGGGGTGCGTGGGGACTCTTGAAGGGCGGGGAGGGGAGGGGGTGGAGACAGCCGGTTCGCCTGAACCTGCCCGAACTGGCTGAATCCCACCACTGGCCCTAACTGGTTGCTTTCTATGACCTGCCTCAGCTTGGCTAAGCTACTAATTCCGAAATTTACATTTGGTTTCCCCTTCTGTATTTATCTAGACCAAAATTGGGTGAGGATTTCCCTTTCAAACATCTCCTGGTTCTCCCGAGGGCAGGTGTGGAAGGGAGAAATTGGTTGGGTTGGTGGCAGTAGATACCTAATTTGCTCTTTAGCTGTAGGTGCAGGTTACCGCAGAATCTAAACACCTTCAGAAAGAACAGCTGGTTTGACCCCGAAAGGGTCTTTCTTATTATAACTCTAGATTTAGAATAATCCAAAACATATTTCAATACTGATATTAGTTTGGCAATGTTAGATGTTGTTAATCCATCTACACTAAATTGTAAAATGAAGAGAAAATTTAACATGTGCTGTGCAAAATGTATTGCCATTTTGCAATTTTAGACAATCCAAATTGCTCTTGCAATATTTCAGTTTGTTTAAAAAATGATTAGCAATAAACTGATTAAAGTATTATTTAGATCTATGTGATTTATCCATTAGTTTCAAATAAGGATTATCCCTAGAGTATATGTCTGTTGGGGGATAGAGATGAAACTCATATTTCCATGTACTCAGGAGAAACATTGATGTCAAAATATGACAAACCCAATAATCTGAAAAATTATATTCCCCCCATTTCTGTATGATAGAAATGTTTAAATAAAAGAAATTTAGGTGTTTGTCCTTCCCATGAAAAAAATGTGATACCTTATCAATATGCTTGAAATAACTTTAAAATCTTGGCTTAGGAAAGCTTTAAAAATATTACCAATCTTGAACTGATTACTTATTTTTACGACATTTAGACTCAGTGGCATATTTAGCTTTCTGTTTATATGAATTTTAAGATGAAGTAAGATTCTCAGATTCACAATGCCTTTTTTAAAATAGATTATTCCCATCAAGAAGAAAGATAGGGAAGAAGGCTTAATGGCTAAAGATTACAAACTTGACGGGATGCTCCATGAAATTACTATGTATAATGTACGTTGAAAGATGTATCTGGAAGCAGCTTAGCATACTGTGTGACGCTGTATATTGAAAAACAGTTGAGCTCTCCCCAGGGAGGGACATTTTCCCCAAACCATATTCCTGTGCCTTTAGTAATAGATAGACTTGTAATATAAGTATGTGCTAAAGCTTATTTTCATGCTGCGATTAGTATATTAAATTGCAAAGTTTAGACAGATTTTATAGTCATGATAGTAATTAAAGTTCTTGTTGTTATGGGTAGTCGTGGTGGTACAGTGGTTAGAATGCAGTATTGCAGGCTAATCCTGCTGACTGCCGACTGCCAGCAGTTCAGCAGTTCGAGTCTCACCAACTCAAGGTTGACTCAGTTCTTCCATCCTTCTGAGGTCGGTAAAATGAAATCATATTGTTCTAGGAGTGTTTGTGTACACTTTGAACCTCCCTTGACCTAGCAAGGAATATAACCTTCACCAGATGAGGGATTCAATCACACAGAAGCTTAATTTGTCTTAATTTGTTCTCGCTTCCTCCCCAATTGTAAAGTACCATAAATGAGAAAAAAAGGAAGGAGAAAAGGAAAAGCTAACTGTATGTACTCAAGTATAATTAAAAGGGCTCCTGAATGGAAAAAGATGGTGAAACAAACTCAGTGGCAGCTTGTTGATTTCATGACTGGCACTAACACACACACACACACACACACACACACACACACACACACGCACATATATTTGAAAGGGCTGTAAAGCACTGAGAAGCGATATATAAGTCTAAGTGCTATTGCTATTGTTATGAGAGGGATCTAAGTGCCCTGGTGGACCACATTTAAATATGATTTAGTAGTGTACTGCAGCTGCCAAAAAAGCCAACACAATCCTAGACTGCATCAACAGATGGGTAGTATCAAGACCATAGGAAGTGGTAAAATAGTGGTATTTACTTACCTTCGCTACCGGTTTGCAAATGTGAGCATGCACGGACCACCTCTGCACCTTCTGTGTATGCACAGAGTGTCCATGATGACATCCGGGCGGGTGGGCGGAGCCTCCCGCTGCCACCCCTACCGGTTCACCCGAACTGGGTAGAACTGGTAGAATCCCACCACTGAAGTGGTAGTATTGTTTATACCACACTGGTAAGGCCATATTTAGAATACTTAATCCACTTTACTGGATGGAGGGTCCGGACATTAATTAGTGGTGGAGATTGTATTTTGTAGGGAGAATATCCTAAGTCTAGTATGATATAGAAAAGTTAGATGGGGAGATATTTTAGTGAAAAGAACCTTTTTCAGAGGTGAGAAAGAGATGAGCATTCTGTTTGCTCTTGTGAGAAGAACGGAATCTGATTTATTCAGGCTAAAACAATTTTATAAACTAATGCCATGCTTTTTTAAAATTCAGTTTAATTATTTCCAATCCTGAATGTGAGTTGAAATCCTTCTGTTCATAATGATGTTTGTGTTTTTGGTCTATGTAGTCCACAACCTGAAGCCCTTCATGCTTTTTGAACAATAAAGGCCAGACTTATTGAAGTTGTGACACTTACACTGGTTGAATATTATGGGAGTTGTAGTCTAAAGCATGCTAAGATTGCTTTCACTGCAATATGGTAATAAGGGATGCTACAATCAATAGCAGTCTCTCATATGGATAAGAAAGGGGGCTCAATTGCCTCATCTTCCATACCTCAATATTTTGGAGAAGGAATGGGCAATATATAAAACTCCAGTGTATTTCAGTATGGCTAACTTAGAGGATTAATGGGAGTTGCCATTCATTAGAGTTTGGAAGGCCATCTATAACCTACTCCACTTCTAGAAAAAAAACACAATACTTCTCTTGTGATGACTGATAACTGTAATTTATCTCTTTTTCATTCAAGATCTTATCCAATGTTGCCATCTATCTGTGCACCATCTGTGTGGGCATCATGTCTTACTACATGGCAGACCGCAAGCACCGCAAAGCCTTCCTAGAAGCTCGGCAATCCCTGGAGGTCAAGCTCAACCTTGAGGAACAAAGTCTGCAGCAGGTAAGAATCAAAGAGTTCCATCTGCAGCTTCTATTTTGTTTCTGGTTCATATCCACATGGGCAATTCAAAACTTGAGTTTAATATCTAAGAAAATCCATTTTCTTAGTTTTTTATTTCTAGATTTGTATGTAGGTACATATGAATGTGCACGGCAGAACTATTTTTGCATCAAATTTACTGGGCCCATCTCTGAGAAAGTTACTGGCCCAATTCTAGCTTACTTGTGAGAGCCATGTTAGTTTCTATTGCCTCTTTCCTGGAGTTTAGAACTTCTCATTTAAGCTTGCATCTCATTGGGAGGATTCTTCCTTGTTTATACTATTATAGATTAGCTGTTTTCAGTGAAATCAAGAAAGAGGCTATGGTGACAGTGCTGTTCCCATAGCAACCCATTTCTCTGTATCTGCTACCAAAGAATAACCCTCTCCAGGCCCTCAGTAAAAATGCACTTAATAATCAAGTTATTTTCATTCGGAGTAATTCCCAAAACAAAATTAGAATATGCTTTTGAAACAGAAACTTCATGAAGATGGCTAACTGGATAAAATAAATCCTCAGTTTGACAAAATATTCCTTCTCCATAAAGCTCGTCTTCTCTTGTGAGCCTGTGCTAAGCTAGACTCCAGTTGTGGGCTCACCATTGAATTATGTAGAATAGATAGGATGAGCTGAACCCAACAACCCCTTTCAGAGGAAGGTCAGATTTAGGTTGAAGGTTTCTAATGTAGCTGGAAGACAAGCCATGTAGAGCTATAAAAATTAAAACTTATATTTTAAATTGTGTTGAAAAAATCTATTGATAACCAGTGCAGTACTCATAATATGGATGGAATCCTGTTAAAGAAGCCCTTATCAATCAGTAAGTGAACTGATATATTTTGGGCCAACAATAGTTTCCAAATAATTATTCAAAAGGCAGCTCCAAGTTATATAAAAAACTGAGTTATATCTTGGCTGTTCTCAGCATTTTCAACTCATCAGTAATCTGGCTAGTTAAGAAATACAGGAGATGTAATTACAGGACTGATAGGCTTCATCTTTAAACTCAGTAAATTGGTACCTAGAGAGCTAAAATAAAGACATACCAAGATCTTTCTTTCTGATATAGTCTGAATAATTCATGTTTGAATTTTCTGCAGTTTAAAACTAGAGAAATAATTCATTCATAGCTCAAAAAGTGGGTTTTGAACCTCTGATTATAATTAAAAGTATTTTTTTGACATGAATATATTTGATTTTCAGAAAAACAAATGTGTGTAGAGTTAAACTTTTGTATATCAGCCATTTCCCTGTACATGCATACACATAAACTGTTTCAACTCCTACCCTCAACACGATGCTATAGAGCACTGCACACCAGAATAACTAGACATAAGAACAGTTTTTTCCCGAATGCCATCACTCTGCTAAACAAATAATTCCCTCAACACTGTCAAACTAGTTACTAAGTCTGCATTACTATTAATCTTCTCATCGTTCCTATTACCCATTTCCTCCCACTTATGACTGTATGACTGTAACCTTGTTGCTGTTATCCTTAAGATTTATATTGACTGTTTCCCTATGATTATCATTAAGTGTTGTACCTTATGATTCTTAATGAATATATCTTTTCTTTTATGTACATCGAGAGCGTATGCACTAAGACAAATTCCTTGTGTGTCCAATCACACTTGGCCAATAAAGAATTCTTTCTTTCTTTCTTTCTTTCTTTCTTTCTCTATCTATCTATCTATCTATCTATCTATCTATCTATCTATCTATCTATCTGCACACATACACAGGGAGAGAGAAGGGGTGGGAGGGAGGGAGAGAAAGTTAATCTCACACAGAATATTGGAGACAGGAGAGAAAAATTATTTAAAATTGTACATGTGAGGCATATAAAATCCCTTGTACTGCATTAATGTTGGCAACAACATTTTTCCTGTGATTATGAGAAATAATGATAAAATTTAGGGTGGGTGAGATCTGAAAGCGGAAAGCTCTTTTGCAAAAGAGGTCAGTAAGTCTTTTGTTGGTCTGGTGTAAACACACAACAGAATTATGTCCTAAAACCTAATGCAATATATTGAACCACATTAAAAAATATTGCAAAGTGATGCCAGTTTGAAATGTTACTTCCCAACATACAGCATAATAGTTTTTTATAGACATGACAGATGATAGGCTTGTGTTGCCTCCAATGCAACAAAACAAAACAAAACCCTATAAGATACCTTTATCAATTTGTGTTAGGTCTACAGTACAGGGACAAAATTAGTCTTCCACTTCTGTTTTTCTACTAAAGCCTTCCATCCTTTTTCTTCTCCCCTCTCCCTTTTATTGTAAAATTATAAATCTGGATATATTATTTATTATTTCAATGCAGATTATAATGCAGCGATGTTTATATAATATGATTTAAAAATTAACATTCTATTATTTAAATAGCGCAAAGTATTAAACTAAAAAAAGATAAAAGTAAAAGTTCTGTCAGTAATAATTGCCAGGATGTCAATGTTACAAGGATATATAAAATATATATTGAATATAAAATAAAAAAACCCACTGCATTTCACATTAAAGTATTAATTTTATGATAATAGTTTCAATGTTGAACTTAATATTTAAATAATTGTATTGTTACTTATATGTGTAGGCGTGTATGTATGTTGATAAAAAGAAATAAAAGCTAGATGAAACAAATTTAATAAAAGTTAAAATACTAAAAAACAGGGTAAAACAGAAAAAGAGAATTTTAAAAAATTATTGATTTCTGGCTTTCCTTGTTCTTTATACATTTGTTAATTTGCAATATTTGTAAGCATTCGGGCTCTCTTAAAAGCCAGACTATAAGTTGTTATTATATTTATCATATTTCTTGACATATTGTATGCAAGGGAAGCAATACAATAATTAAGCAATAAATGCTTAAATTTATTTAAACTTCCATTGTGTAGATATACTGTTAGTTTTCCCATTGCACACATTCTTCAGGTTTAAGTTAACCAACTGGATAATTTTCAGGACTGTATTTTTCTGTTGGAATGGATTTCCAGGAGGGAGGACCAAGAGATAGTGAAATTTAGATAATTTGGGAAAAAGAGGGTCAAGATAGCTCATTCATAGAAATTCTTGGAGTATATTTTTAACAATGAAAGCTTAGTTTTCAAAGAGTTCTCTCTATAGGTGAGAAACAATAAAGGAAACTGCTTAAAAATATCTCTGCAAGTCTTCCATGGTTTTTGGAGCCTGACAGTTTTTCTTCCAGTGTTGAGCAAAATTTATCCTTGGTATGTTAAACACAGATCTCGTTAAATTATGGTATTTCTTGTTATTTTTTCTGAGACTATACCTAATAGGATACAGTTGTGGTTTCATTTCAAATTTACATTCCAAAATTTTCTACGTTATACTATGCAGATATTTTCAATACTTTTGAGGTCTTTTATAAGTCTTTTATATGTTTTCTTCTGATTTTGCCTAAGTGTTTTGGGGATAAAGAGCAGTTCAATGAGTATGAGTATGATTTTTCAGCAAGACAGCAGTAATGGGGGAAATGTTTAAACTTCTGTCTCCTGTGTTGAAATCCTGATCAGTATTGGGGAATGGGGACTATAATTGTGTTTTGTGTTTCGTATTCAAGGATGCTGTTAACTAAGATCTAGTTTCACTTCAGAGGTAAAATAGGACTTATTCCAAACGCCTAAAGATCAAGACACATTCTAGTCCACCCTTAGCAGATGGAGAAGGGATTATATAAAATAAGTAGATATGTCTCAGTTTGGTTTCAAAATGCAACATTTTTAGTGCATAATATTTTGGCTGGAGGCTTGTAAACAGCTATATGCAAGCACGTTGCTGGATGAGGAGAATACATACTGAAAGATTCAACACAACATTTTCATTTCAAACTGCAAGCAGTTTAACATATATGCTTTACTTGATAGAGCTGATAGAGATTACGAGAAAAGAAGACTATTAGAAGAGCTTCCTTCCATCTTCTTTTAATAAAATAAAATGTCTCTGTTTTCCTTCCATCCCACAGTTTCAATCAGATCTGTCCACTTCTTGTAATTGAACCTTGATGTAAGATGGAGTCACTATGGCAACCCATTTCCAAGACAGCAAAAGGCAAATATTTCCAGACTAGTCAAACTGTTGGTATCAGAAAAAATACAGAGAGCAACAAGGAAAGGTTTCTTTATTGCCCAGGCATAAAGATGAGTTTTCTGTATACAATAAACTGATCCTATCTCTCCTTCAGTTTTCACTGAAGATTATAAAAGCTTATTCTAAGATAGAATGGGTCTTATTCTAAGATAGGCAAGCAAAGAGAATAAAGGCAAGAATAGTTTGATTAGACCAGTTGATTCGGTTGTTCAGACTATATAATGTATAGCGGGGACTTTTCTGAGATTCAGTTTGCCAATCTTGACTTCTGTCAGATTGCTGCATTCTGGCTTCCCTTCCTCTCTCTGTTTTCATGGCGACATAAGAGTTGCAATAGTCATTTAGGCCACTGAATCCAATCTATTTTTCCAGCTGGTATTCAGGTAAAAGTATCCTCAATAGAGGAATTCTAGCCTTTGCTGAACTCCTCCAATGAAAGGGAGCCCATCACTCCTGATAATTCAAAATACTTTTTTAAAAGAAATGTTTTGTTTTGTTCAGTAATCAGGTTGTATGTACAATAGTTTTGCTGATACCGTGTCCACAAATTTGCTTTATTCTTTCTTCGTCATTCTGCTTCTCTATATACTTCCTATATGTATTCTTTTAATTTTTTTTTCATTTTTCTTCCCTGGAGAACCTCCCCCTGACATTTTACTCCCTCCCTTCAACGCTCATAAAGTAGTCCTTGATTTACAAATACAATTGAGATGGGAATCTTGGTTGTTGAGCGAAATGGCCATTAAGCAAGATGCAACATGATTGTTTGCTCAGTACTGCAATACCTGCACTCTTTGTGGCAGTCATTAAGCAATTTCCCAAATTGTTAAGCAGACCGTGGAGC